GACGCTGGTCTCAGGAGCTGCGGCAAGGGGGTGGCTGACAGGTGGCTGGGCTGGAGAGTCCCCAGATCTCTTCCTGCCCCCAATCTAGAGGGCCCGGGAGAGCTCAGCCTGGAACCAGATTCTGGGGTCCAGTCCCAAGTGGAGGAAGGGGGGCGGGGTCCTCCCAACCTCAGGGTCTTGCAGCCTCCACCTGAAGGATGCTCCCCACCCTCAGTCCTGGCCTGGGGGGGACCTTTGGGGAGATTGGTCTGGAGTAACCCCACCCCTCTGCCGCTGAGTCATTACCACCCCTGGCCGGCCTGCCCGGTCCCGGTTTTCTCCTCTGGGGGATGGGGAGGGGGAAGTGGAGGGGGACAGGAGCGGGCCTCCCCAGGAGCTGTGAGAAAGCTGGCCCTCTTTGTGAGGGCGGCGGGAGGAGGGCACCACCGCCTGCCCGGCGGGGTCAGGGTGGGGGCTGCCGCCGTTTGATGTGCCGGGCGGGGTGTGGGGACGCCGGCCGGAATAAAGAGGCCATAGAATTGCTGCCTGACACGGGCCCACCGCGGGGCTGCCTCCGCCCGGCTCCCTCAGCCTCTGTCTGTCAGTGTCGGCCCGGGGACTCTGCTCCCCACGGCTCCCCCTCAGCCTTGCGTGCGGGGTGGCGGGAGCCCCTCTGAAAGCCCTCAAAGGCCCCTTTATGCGTCCGTCCCCCGGACCCTCCCTGCCACGGGGAGCGGAGGGAGTGGGCTCGGCTGCCTTTCCTCCCGCCTCCTCCTCCCCGGTGATCGGCCTTTTGGAGAAAGTTCAGGCTTAGCTCCTTGCGTGGCCGGTTCATTGCCCAACACTCCCCGCTGGGCCCGACCTGAAGTGGGTGTGGCCGGGCCCACCGCCTGCCCGGAGCGCCACGTGGTGGAGCACGGGGGGGGGAGGGGGGGGCGCCGTCTAGGTCTGAGTGTCCGGAGCTGGACAGACAGAAGGCAAGTTCACGGTCCCCTCCCGTCCCTCGGCTCTCTGGGCTGGGGTCCCGCTCCCCAGGGTGAGGAGGGCTGGCCCAGGTGGGCGGGGCCCCAGGAAGGTGCGCAGAGTCTTGGGCTCCCTGCAGCCTTCTTGCTGCCCCGTCCTGAAGGCCAGGAGAAGAGGGAGGCCATTGGGAACGTGAGAGGGTCTTGTCCGCGAAGGCTGGGGGCCCTGGTTCCTTTCTGGGGGGTCTGGCCCTCTCAGTGCCTCCTCACCCCTCTCAGTGCCTCCTCACCCCTCCCCACAGGTGTGTGGAGTCTGCCTCTGCAGGCTGATCTTCCGAGTGCACGGCAGGCAGATGCTCCCGGAGCAGTGGCCCGGGGGGTGTGAGCCAGAGCATCTCTGGGGTGGAGTCCTGTCTCCCTTCCTCCGTCCCTGAGGAGGGCCGGGAGGGAGCTCCCCACACAGGGACTGGCAGTGCTCCACCACCTGCAAGTTCCAGCCTGCGCCCTGGGGCTGCTTGTAGGGGGGAGCTGGGCAGTGGTACTGAGCCCCTTCCTCTCCTCCCACCTCCCACCTCCTGGACTCTGAGCCCGGAAGCCAGAGGGCCTGCACTGTCCCCTTCACCCCCGCCCCCCCCACCCCCCCCAGGGAAGCGGCCTGGAGGGACTGGAGTTAGTGCTGAAGGTGCCCTTGGTCACCTCCTCCCCCTGAGGGCCCGGAGTGGGGGTGAAGGGGACAGACTGGGGCCCTGGGGACAATGCAAGAAGAAGGGGGCTTTAGCCGAAACCAGTTAGGCTCAGTGGATAGAGCATCGGCCTGCGGACTGAAAAGTCCCGGGTTCGATTCCGGTCGGGGGCATGTATCTTGGTTGCGGGTGCATCCCCAGTGGGGGGGGGGGTGCAGAAGGCAGCTGATCCATGTTTCTCTCTCATCCATGTTTCTAGCTCTCTATCTCTCTCCCTTCCTCTCTGTAAAAAATCGATAAAATATATATATATATATTTTTTTAAAAAAGAAAAGAAAAAAGAAGGGGGCTTTGGAGGGGAGAGCATTCTTTCGATTTGGGATTCTCAGGCCCTTCCAGGCGCGAGTGCCCTGGACCGCGCCTCCCCCCCCCCCCCCGCCCCCGCCGCCTTACACACACACACACACACACACACACACACACACATCAGAAAGGGGCAGCTGGGCCCAGTGACCTAAGAGCAGTGGGCAGAGCAGGCGGGGAGCCAGCTAACTTCCTAACCTGCTCCTTTCCATGGACTCACCGGGCCCAGGCCCTGGTCTCCAGGTTAGCGCCTCTGTGGGGAGGGGAGGGGTGCTGAGGCGGGGGCACGGCACATGGGCAGCCTGGGTTATAGGTGAATGAGGGGCGAGTCCTCTCTGCCTGCACCCGCTTCTCTCTTTCTCCCTTGTGGGCTGAGGAGCTGGGCTCAGGGAGGGAGGCAGGGAGGCGGGGAGGCAGGTGGGTGATTCATGGCAGCTGGAGAGCTGCAATTTGGAAACGGGGGAAGGTGGTGGGTGAGGCTGGGTCTGACCACGTCTGTTTGCCCAGGGAGGGCCTGGCCCTTAAAATCCCCTGCAGGTGAGTGGCCAGGGTCCGCCCAGGCGGAGGGCAGGGAGTGGACGGGGCTGGGAGCCTTCTGACCCAGAACCCCTCCCTCCAAGCCGGAAAGCACCCCTGGCCTCTGTGCCGTCTGTTGCGTTCCTTCTGGGAGTGCTGCGGGCAGGCAGCCTCTGGGGAGGGGCTTGGCTCACGCTGAACCCACACTGCCCAGCTGAGCGTGGTAGCCGATGCCCCCTCCCCTTTCGGGGCCTGGTGGGCCAGTGTTTTACACTCTTCCCATGCCACCGCGTGGGTGCCCTCTCCCAACGCCAACGGGCCGGGTCTGAGCAGAACCTTGGGGAGGAGGTGGCTCAGCCTTATCTGATCTGCCAGCTGCAGAGCCCCAGTGGCGGTTATGGGATGGAGAACTCTGCCCAGGATTGATAGCCATCTGATGTCTCTGTGGCACAGGGCGGAGAGCACCCACAGCACGTTTTGTAACACACAAACGTTGAGGCCCAGTGTGAAGAGATAAAAGAGGTTGGCTTGCCAGATTAGGAGATGCGGAGTGAGATTGGGAGAGGGGATGAGTGAAGGCCGAGGGTGCTCCAGGCGGGGAAGAGACCGGAGCCTGGCCCGCTGCCACCGTGGCCTTCACCCAGCATCTGTGGGACTGAGCCCGCGAGGCAAGGGAGGCCCCCGGCTCCCGCCCCCTGAGGCCTGGGCTCTGTGCACCCACCTCCTTTGACATGGAGGACAGGGTAGAGCAGTGGTCGGCAAACTCATGAGTCAACGGAGCCAAATATCAACAGCACAGCGACTGACGTTTCTTTGGAGAGCCAAATTTTTTAAACTTAAGCTTCTTCTAACGCCACTTCTTCAAAATAGACTCGCCCAGGCCGAAAACCGACTTCTGCGCATGGGTCACGAAGTTTCATTCTCACTGTACGTGCGCGCCTGCACGTGGTGTTTTGTGGAAGAGCCACACTCAAGGGCCAAAGAGCCGCAGGAGGCTCTTGAGCCACAGTTTGCCGACCACTGGGTTAGAGGACTTGCCTTTTCACACCCAGATGCCCCTTCTATGCCTCCTCTTGTGGCTGACTTGATCTTCCCTCTTTTGTGGTCACTTCTGAACAGGGCAGACGGCAGTAGGTGCTGTTGTTATGAAGCAGGACCTGGAGGCCAGCTTCCCCGGGGCCGGGGAGGGGGGCACAGGGAGGGTGCTAGGACCTGGGGGCCAGCTTCCCCAGGGCTGGGGAGGGGGGCACAGGGAGGGTGCTAGGACCTGGGGGCCAGCTTCCCCGGGGCTGGGGAGGGGGCACAGGGAGAGTGCTAGGACCTGGGACCAGCTTCCCCTGGTCTGGCGTGGGGCACAGGGTGGGATCTCTGTGCACAGCGGTCAGGCCTGGAGGGAAGGGCTGAGGACTTCTCTGCTGAGAATGGACGGACCTGTTGGGAGCAGAGAAAGGCTGCGGGTGGAAATGGCGGGGCATCCTGCCAGCCCAGGGGTCACAGGGCACGGCAGTTGCTGACAGTTGGTGGTTTCACACCCCTGTGCGGCGGGCACCTGGGAGCAGCCTGGCCCAGCTGTGGCCCCGCTGTCCTGTGACGGGCGGGCAGCGTTCCTCCCGTGAACGCCGGGCGCGGGAGGGAGCTGAGGGAGAGGTGCCGGGCCCAGGTTCTTGGGGAGGAGGGCTCTGTCGGCAGGTCAGTGACGGGTTCGGACCCACGCAGCACACCACAGCCTTCCTCCCTCCCCTCGTCCTGTCCTGTCCGTGGGGGTGGGCGTTCCGGTGCAGCCAGGCTCGGGGCCAGGCGGCGCAGAACCACAGGCGCTGCTCTCAACAAAGGGGCCTGGGGCGGCCCGGCTGTGGGAGACGGGAGAGAGGCAAATGGGCCCTGCCTTGGGGGGTCTCCAGGGGCACCCCAATAACAGGGTCTGGGGATCCGGGAATTCAGTTGGTTTGATCCCCCCCCCTCCCACCCCTTCCCATACCAGCAGCGAGGGCAATGGCAAGGGTATCCAAGACAGAGAATAACCGACATGTGTTTGGCTGTGGAGTGTGCTGAGGTTTAACAATCATATTTACCTTATTCATTATGTCAGCCTTAGGCTAATATTAACATGCACTTCCTGATTGGGCAGTAGGGGGGTGGCACCTAGGAGGTGGCAGGGCCCAGCTCCAGCCTGGGAGTGACCAGGTTTCAGGGCTCCGGAGCAAATCCCGGAGGCCCGGCTCCCAGGACCTCTCGCTCAGTGTTGGATGTGTCTCTGCCCTTTTAGGATCCGAATGCCATGCCCCCACCGGGGCCCCCACGGCAGCGGGCCTCTGTCATGGGCTGAGGAGCGGGGCCTGCACGGAGGGCTGGCAGCAATGGGCTCCCGTCTGAGTCCTCGGCAGTCTGTGGCAGTGAGGAGGAGGAGGAGAGGCCTGGGCGTCCGGAGTGGGGCTGGGACGAGGCGGCTCCGGTGTGAGTGACGGGCTCAGAGCCACCCCTGCCCGCCCGGCCCGCCATGGTCCAGAGGCTGTGGGTGAGCCGCCTGCTGCGGCATCGGAAAACCCAGCTCCTGCTGGTCAACCTGCTGACCTTCGGCCTGGAGGTGTGTCTGGCCGCGGGCATCACCTACGTGCCCCCCCTGCTGCTGGAAGTGGGGGTAGAAGAGAAGTTCATGACCATGGTGCTGGGTAAGTCCCCACCTCCTCCTGCCTCTGGTTCCAGACCCATGCCCCCTGGGTACGGGGCAACGGTGCCTCTGTCCACAGAGCCACTTGGAGGGAGCGGGCGGGGGCCGTCTGCTGGGCTGGTTGGCTGGGGGCAGGGGTGACTCTGGGCTGAGAGGGCCCCAAGAGGGAGAAAAGGGGACAGGGACTTGCCCTGGTCATCACTATACCCCTGGCCCTGCATCATGGCCGACTCATAGGAGAAATGGCCCTTCCCCTTGGGCTGGCCCTTTCTAACGACTATCTGTGATCTCATGTAATGCTTTTCCTGCAAGCCTTGGAGGGCATCTAGTCCACAGAGCAGATAATGGAGGTCTCTAAGATGTCAGCTGAGCCGAAACCGGTTTGGCTCAGTGGATAGAGTGTCGGCCTGCGGACTGAAAGGTCCCGGGTTCGATTCCGGTCAAAGGCATGTACCTTGGTTGCGGGCACATCCCCAGTACAGGGTGTGCAGGAGGCAACTGATCGATGTTTCTCTCTCATCGATGTTTCTAGCTCTCTATCCCTCTCTTCCTCTCTATAAAAAAATAAATAAACATTTAAAAAAAAACCTACAAAAAAAAAAGTCAGCTGACCTAGCCAGCTGTACAGCTAGCTCCTGGGTAGAGGGCCAGGGCCTCCCAGCCAGGGCTTCTGCTGACCTGTGGGATGGATTCTGCAAAGGCCACCAAAAGCAAGAGGGCAGCGTCGTGAGTCTTCCAGGCGGCAGGGGCCCTGCCGGGATGATGGGCTCTGGAGTCAGACCGCCTGCTGACTCCCTGCCCCCTGCCCTCCTCGCTCTAACCTTGGACGCGAGTCTCACTCATCCCTTGCTCCATGCCTCCGTTTTCCCACCTGAAAAATGGGGCGTTAGCGATCCCAGCTGTGAGGAGTCCATTAGAGTCCCCAAGGACTCAGCACAGTACCCAGGACAGGAGCGGTCCTTCCTGTGGGAGTAGCATGGTCATTTCCGTCCTTCCCAAGGAGGTTGGTCTCCCTGCCCCCGCCCCTGCCCCAACCTCCAGCTCACACTGCTTGCCTTTCTTGCAGGCATCGGTCCAGTGCTGGGCCTCGTCTCGGTCCCGCTCCTGGGCTCAGCCAGTGACCACTGGCGTGGGCGCTATGGCCGCCGGAGGCCCTTCATCTGGGCCCTGTCCCTGGGCGTCCTGCTGAGCCTCTTCCTCATCCCGAGGGCCAGCTGGCTGGCGGGGCTGCTGTGCCCGGACACCCGGCCCCTGGAGCTGGCGCTGCTGATCGTGGGCGTGGGGCTGCTGGACTTCTGCGGCCAGGTGTGCTTCACCCCGCTGGAGGCCCTGCTCTCCGACCTCTTCCGGGACCCGGACCACTGCCGCCAGGCCTTCTCCGTCTACGCGTTCATGATCAGCCTCGGGGGCTGTCTGGGCTACCTCCTGCCCGCCATCGACTGGGATGCCAGCGCCCTGGCCCCCTACCTGGGCACCCAGGAGGAGTGTCTCTTCGGCCTGCTCACGCTCATCTTCCTCACGTGCATGGCGGCCACCCTGCTGGTGGCCGAGGAGGCGGCGCTGGGCCCTGCCGAGCCGGCCGAAGCGCTGTCCATCCCGCCCCCCAGGCCGGCCCGCGGCTGCCCGAGCCGTGCCCGCCTGGCTCTGCGGAACCTGGGCGCCCTGCTGCCCCGGCTGCACCAGCTCTGCTGCCGCGTGCCGCGCGCCCTGCGCCGGCTCTTCGTGGCCGAGCTGTGCAGCTGGATGGCGTTCATGACCTTCACGCTGTTTTACACAGACTTCGTGGGCGAGGGGCTGTACCAGGGCGTGCCCAGGGCCGAGCCAGGCACTGAAGCCCGGAGACACTACGATGAAGGTAAGGCTCCTTGGTGGGAGATGGGGGAGAAGGAGAGATGAGGGGGCTCGGGCCTAGGGGCACGCCCACCACCTGTGCCTGGGCAGGTAGCTGGGCACCCCTGCACCCCGTCAGGAAAACAGGCCCAGCCTCTGTGGGCAGCGACTCAGGCTCCGGGGCAGCGGAGCCTGCCGTCTGCCTCGGTGGAGCCCGGGGCTGCACTGCGAGTTGGATCAGGGTCCTTGTCCCAAAAGGCGGCACTGGTTTAAGGTCCAAAGGGAGTGAGAAGTCCAGGCCGGTGTGTCAGGTTTGCCTGATTGACGGTGTCCCCTTCTCCCGCTCCTGACTTTCAAATCCCCCAGCTTTCCAAATCCCAACACCTGTAGCACAGGTGTCCTGGAATCTCTGGAGCCTCTGGCTGAGCTGTCTGTGTCTCTCTCGTCCTCCTAGTAGCTGAGCACTAGCTGGGCTGCCGTCCACCCTCAGAGCGGCTTCCTCTGCCCTGAGCTGGTCGCTCTGGCCACATCCCCTGAGATCAGTGGGGCAGCCTAGACTCCTGGGGTTACAGGGTGCTGGGGAGCAGGGCTGACCTAGCAGGTTTTGACCCAGGGCCCCTAACTCTGAGCACCCCCCAGATTGTACTGGGCCCCTCCCCCTCCATGTCTGACTGCCTCCTTCCCTCCCGCCTCTCTGTCTAGGAGTCCGGATGGGCAGCCTGGGGCTGTTCCTGCAGTGTGCCACCTCCCTGCTCTTCTCCCTGGTCATGGACCGGCTGGTGCAGCGATTCGGCACCCGGGCGGTCTACCTGGCCAGCGTGGTGGCCTTCCCCGTGGCTGCCGGCGCCACGTGCCTGTCCCGCAGCGTGGCTGTGGTGACCGCCTCCGCCGCCCTCACAGGCTTCACCTTCTCCACCCTGCAGATCCTGCCCTACACGCTGGCCTCCCTCTACCACCGGGAGAGGCAGGTACTCACACCGGATGCAGCCGCGGAGGCCGGGCGGGTGGCGGCGGCGGCGGGGGTGGTGGGGAGGAGTGGGGCTGGCCAGCCCAGAACTGGGCTCGGGCGGGAGAGCCGTTGGAGAAAGCAGTCTTTGATCAGAGAGGAAGGCCACGCAGCCCCGGGGCCAGAGACGTGGGCTGCGGAAGGAGGGTATAGATTAGATTCTGGGAATGACTTCCTGGTGTCAGGATTGTAAAGTACTTGAGTGGATGATTGCAGGAAATGCAAAATCCTTCTCTGGGGGAGTCCTGGAGCGGCCTGCCAACAAGCCCTCTGGCTGCTGGGTGGTGCTGTTGGGCGGGGCGAGGGGTGGGGGGAGAGGGAGTGGGCGCTGGGCCAGGTGGCCTTGGGACCCAGCCTCTGCAGACTGGAGTGGGGAAGGCCTGGTGTCCTGCAGAGACTGGGAGGGGCCCATTGACCTGGGCCTGCTTTGGTCTCCCCATGGGGAAGGCTCCTCCCTGTCCCTCTCGTGCTCTACCTCTTCCTATCGAGTTCTCTCTCTCCTTCTTCTGCTTTTCCCGCTTTTCCTTTGTTCCCTTTCCCCACCCCCTTGGCCTGACACCACTTGCCTGGACACTTTGTAAGTGGGGGCCTCACTAACTAGCCCCTCCAGGGCCCCTCTTTTGTGGGAAGCCCCCTGACCAGGCTCTATGGTCAATGTTATCTCCTCCGCTGGCCTCACGGAGCTACCGTCCCGGGCGCAGAGCTCTGGCCAGGCGGGCAAGAAGCTGGGGTGTCCCCAGGGAGATGCAGGTGTGTCCTCAGGGCTTCCAGACTTGGGGAGACATGTCTCTGCCCTTGCAGGGCGTGAGTGCAGCAAACCGAAGGCAGGTGAGCCAAGTCGGTAGCTGCCGGGGTGGAAGGGGTGGAGGGAAGGGCCGGGGTTCTGGTTGGGGGAACCTGGTTCCTCAGACCCCTGTCCGCACACCGATACCTTCATCAGCCTCCTCTCCTCTGCTGCCCTGGCTGCGGGCGTGGGGCTGATGGATGGGGCCAGGCTTGGGCACGTGCACTGGTGCCAGAGAACATACAGGGGCTGGTCCTTCCTATGGGCCAAGGATTCCTTCTATCTCCAGGGGCCTCTCTAGGCTCCAGCCTCACTGGTCTTTCCTGGGGTAGCAGGCATCGCCTGCACCTGTCTTTGCCCACTTCCATGAGTGGTGGGCTCCCCGGGGGTCAGGGGTGAGCTCTGCCGTGGATCTCAGACCTAATGCAGCCAACTAGCCTTCTAGCTCCAGATTTGTCCTATCCCTGCCCCCTGGTTCCTGTCCCGCTGCCTGGTTTTCACTAAGGCCCGTGGACCGGTTTGTTCTCATCGCTGGGGGGGGAGGGGGGGACTCCCATGCCAGGGTACACACCTGTCCTCGCCCCCTTGTCCTTCCTCTATTCCCCCAGGTATTTCTTCCCAAGCACCGAGGAGACGCCGGAGGGAGTGCTCCGGAAGACAGCCTGCTGACCAGCTTCCCGCCCGGCCCCAAGGCCACGCCCCCCTTCCCCAACGGACACGTGGGCGCGGGGGGCAGCGGCCTGCTCCCCTCCGTGCCCGCGCTCTGTGGGGCCTCCGCCTGCGACGTCTCCATGCGTGTGGTGGTGGGCGAGCCGCCCGAGGCCAGGGCCGTCCCGGGCAGGGGCATCTGCCTGGACCTCGCCATCCTGGACAGTGCCTTCCTGTTGTCCCAGGTGGCCCCGTCCCTGTTCATGGGCTCCATCGTCCAGCTCAGCCAGTCCGTCACGGCCTACATGGTGTCGGCCGCGGGCCTGGGACTGGTTGCCATCTACTTTGCTACGCGGGTGGTATTTGACAAGAGTGACTTAGCCAAATACTCAGTGTAGAGCACTTCCCACCCACTGAGCCAGGGCCTGCCTCCCTGGGTCCCGACTCCTCCGTCTTCCAGGCTCCATAGGGCTGTGGGGCTGCTGGCTTCCCAGTTCCTATTGCTGCCCAAGTGCCGTGGCTCTCTGCTGCCACCCCATGGCGGTAAGGTGCATAGCTGCACAGACAGGGCACTGGGGCTTTCCCATCTCTCTCCCATCATTAGGGCTGTGGCTGAGTCCACATGGGCCTACGTCTGGCCTTGCAGGGAGAGAAGGTCAGGGCATTTGAGTAGCACCGTGCACTGGAATTCAGGACTCCCGAGGGATTACCCAGGCTCAGGGGTCACAGCTAGCGCCCTGATCAAGACAGACCAAGAGAAGGCACCTGGGGAGCTGAGGAAACTCAGCCTCCAGGTCTCCTCTCTCCGAGCCCTGCTATCCTGTAGGTTCCCCCAGTGTTGCTCTAGTGTGAAACTGTCCCCTCACAGAATTTGAAAGTTACTTGGAGGGCAGGTGTCTGAGGGGAGTGGGGACACTGCCTTTCCACAGATTCCCCCAGCCCTGCTTCACCAGGGCGGGGCTTGTGGGCCCCTGTGTTTCCATCACAGGGACCTAGGCCTTTAAATACTTAACTTATTTATTTAAAGAGAGGGGAGTCGATTCCCAGCTCTGTGTGGTCAGTGTCTGGGAGGGACATCTCTACGACGGCCCCCTGGTCCCCTGAGATGCCTGGCTATTGGGTTTAAGCATTGCCAGAATCCCCTTTTCCTGGAGTGATCGGTCTGGCCCCAAAATGTTCTCACCCAGGAGCTTGGAAGCTCTGCTTGCCCCTGCTGATCCCAACTCCTCTCCCCTAAGGCTGGTCACGGCAGAGGAGGAGGGCTGGACCTCAGGTCTGAGCAGCCTCCCTGGACGTCCCTCCTCTCTCGGCCCAGCGTGCCCCGTCCCCGCCCCTCTGCTTCCTCTAGGTCTGGGCTGTGAAGGAGCTGCCCACCCCCTGCCTTTCCCCACGGGCTTCAGGGCCTCTCCTGGGGGCCACTTTGGGACCAGAAGCACTCAGGGTGGCTCCTTGAAACCTTGATCCGTCTCCGCCCCCAGGGACCCTCGCACAGAATCTCAGGAGCCCCCCTGCCTAGGCTAAGGAGGGCATCTCTCTGGGGGGCGTTTTAAGTGCCGTTTGCAATAACGTCATGTCTTATTTATTTAGCGGAGTAAATATTTTATACTGTACGTGAGCAATCAGAATATACTGTTTATGGTGATGAAATTAAAGGTTTCTTATATGTTTAATCGGCCTGTGTTCATCTTCTCTGCTGGGAAGGACCAGATCTCTCAAAAATTATCCTCTGATCCCTTTTCATTGGAGCTGGGGTTTTGGGGTGTGGAGCCGGGGGATGGAGGGGGGAGGGCAGCTTCAGTTCTCAGCGTCACCAGCAGGTGGAGCCATAGACCAATACTCCAGTCCTTTGGTGGCTGGTTGTGGCTGTGGTACCCCCTGGATTGAGGTTTTTTTGGGGGAATGTGGGGGAGATTAAGGGTTGGGAGTGGAGGGGAGTGGGGGCATTTTCCTTCTCAAAGGGCTCAAGGAGATGGAGCAAGCACCCGTTACCAACTACAGCAGTGTGAACTCCCCTGATGTGCATGCAGGTGAGGATTTTGACCCCCCTGTGCCTTGGTCCTGCCCTTTCTCATCTCCTTCATCCTTCCTGCCAGGCTCAGGTCAAGTTCAGAGGCTTCTCTGCCTTGTCACCTCCCTCAACTTGACGGGTCTTCCTGTCCTCTAAGTAGCAACAACTAGTTTTATTCATTTTTTATTTATTTTATTTTTATTTTTTAAAATATATTTTATTGTTTACAGAGGAAGAGAGAGGGACAGAGAGTTAGAAACATCAATGAGAGAGAATCATTGATCAGCTGCCTCTTGCACACCCCCTACTGGGGATGTGTCCGCAACCAAGGTACATGCCCTTGACTGGAATCGAACCTGGGACCTTTCAGTCTGTAGACCCATGCTCTATCCACTGAGCCAAACAGGTTTGGCTATTCATTTTTTAAATGTTCTATATTTTATTTAACTTTTTATTATGGAAATTTCAAACATACATGAGTAATGAACCTGGTAGAATGAGTCCAGGTTCAACAATTATGAATGTTCCGACATTTTTGTTTCATATCCTGCACCCTAACTCCTGTGTGTGTGTGAGATATATATATATATATAAAACTTTTTATTTTTATTTTTCAAAATATTTTGCCTATCAAGTTGGCAATGACACATACACTCTCTCTCTCTCTCTCACACACACACACACAAACACACACACACACACACACACATATATTGATTAGAGAGAGGAAGGGAGAGGGAGAGAGAGAGAAACATCAATGATGAGAGGGAATCATTGGTTGGCTGCCTTTACTGGAGATGAAGCCCGAAACCCAGGCATGTGCCCTTGACTGGAATCACACCGGTGACTTCAGTCCGCAGGCTGACACTCTGTTCACTGAGCCAAACTGGCTAGGGTGATTTTTATTTTTTTCTTATTGGAGAGAGGAAGGGAGAGAGAGAAACATCAATGTGAGCAAGGATTTCAGTGGGTTGCATCCTGTACACACCGTGACCGGGGTTCAAACCAGCAACCTTTTGGTGCACAGGACAACACCCAACCAACTGAGCCACACTGCCAGAATCTATTTATAAAAGATAAGGACTTATTTTAAAAACCACATAGTTACATTACTATTATTTTAAAAAATTAAAAAATAATAATTCCTCATTGTAATCAAATATCTAGTCAGTGTTCACATTTTTATCTCAAATTATTTTGTAAAGATTTTGTTCAAATTAGAACAAAATAAATTCCAGCTGAAACCGGTTTGGCTCAGTGGTAGAGCATCAGTCTGTGGACTGAAAGGTCCCAGGTTCGATTCCGGTCAAGGGCATGTACATTGGTTGCAGGCACATTCCCGGTGGGGGGTGTGCAGGAGGCAGCTGGTTGATGTTTCTCTCTCATCGACGTTTCTAGCTCTCCATCCCTCTTTCCTTCTCTCTGTAAAAAATCAATAAAATATATTTTAAAAATAAAATAAAATAAATTCCACACATGGAATTAGGATGGAGGAGCCAGAGAAGGAGGTGGGTGGGGGGAAGCCCAGGGTCCTGGGCTGGAGTCAGTGGGTGGTGCCCCATCCCTGAACATTCATGGATCTTCCTTTCTGGCCTGGGGTGCTCTCCCTGCAGAGCCAGCTACATGGGTTGGGGGAGCAGAGAGAGGAGGGGTGGGGGACATGGGGGAGCAGAGAAAGGAGGGGTGGGGACATGGGGGAGCAGAGAGAGGAGGGGTGGGGACATGGGGGAGCAGAGAGAGGAGGGGTGGGGGACATGGGGGAGCAGAGAGAGGAGGGGTGGGGACATGGGGGAGCAGAGAGAGGAGGGGTGGGGCACATGGCCTGGGCAGCGGGATCTCGGGTTACCTCTCGTGCTGCTGGGGAAAAAGCCCTCGGTTTCCAGGGTCAGATTTGGTTACAGCGGCCTGGCCATTCGTCACTGTTGGCCGGAGGGAGGGCTGCTCGCCCAGAGCCGGGGCTTCCTGACACCCAGCACTGTCACTAGGTCTCCGCACACCCGAGCAGGCAGCTGGTCACTTGACCCCCGTCTGCCTCTTGCTGGCATTTGACCTTTGACCTGTCATTCTCCTGTGGGCACAGTGAGGGGTTAATAGAGTAGACACAGCGCTAGAATCCGACGACTTCGTGGTTCGGAGCGGCTCCCCCCTAACCCCCCTCCATAGCCATTTATAGCCCCCGATGATGCTCCTTCCTTTCCACCAGATGCTGTCTGCCTGCCTTCCTGCATCTGGACCTGTGTTAGCCCTGGGGCCGTGGCAACAAAACACACCCTCCTCCCTGCAGCTCAGACGGGCTGAGCGGAGGCCTCTGGGGGCAGCCCCGGGCTGGCTTAGGGATCCAGGTTCTGGGGGAAGCGGCTCCAGGGAGAGCCAGGTGTGGGTCAGCCAGCGAGAAGCAGGCTGGGGAGAGGCGGTGGGGGAGGGGGGCGCCCTGACACAGAGGACGCCCCACTGGCTGGCCTTGCTCGGTGACTTCATTGCAGTGACGTGGGAATAGCATGTGGCAGGGAGGCACCCGTTCGCATGTGACGAACAGGCCTGCGAAAATGCCGCCCCTGGTCCAGGGGCACTGCCACCGGGCTCTGCTTGTGGTACCATCACAGGTTTGACAGGTGGAGGAGCGGAGGGGCATCTAGGAGGCCTCTGCGTTGTCTCTGCAGCTTTTCTGTGAATCTAATATCCATATAATAAAAGCGGAGTATGCAAATTGTCCCCACGTCCGGGAGTTGTCCAGGAGTTCCACCAGGAGGCAGGGCGGGCCTGGGGAAGGGAGGGAGGTCCTGGCTGACAGCTGGCAGTTGGCAGTCACTAGGGATCCTACCAGTACACAGATTTTGTTGGGCCTCTAGTTCCAACATAAAAGGATGACTTCTTAATATAAGGACTTTTGATCTGTGCCGTGCACTTTTGATAAGCACCATCGGTCAATTGTCAATCATTAGTGTTGACTGGGTAGCTGAGAGGGAAGGGCACCAGCGGGTGTGGAGGTGTGGGCAGTCCTTGCTCTCTGAGCTCTCAGACTTCCCTGGGAAAGAAGCTGTGTCCAGCAAAAAGCTACCTCTAACAGCACGAGGCGGTGTGACCAGCGCCAGCAACACGGGACAGTGCAGAGGGCGCCGGCGGGAGGAACCGCCATCGGAGCGTGTGTGTGAAACAGGGACAGAGACTAGCGCCTTCCACAGAACAAGCTCTCCGAATCCATGAGCCCTTCATCGACCGGACATACATTGCCCCAGTCTCTGTGCATTAGTCATACAGAAACCCACCCAGGCATATTGATTGTGCATCCTAAACACCCTTCCCATCGATCGCCTCCTTGCTAACTAGCCCTCGTCGCCGCCGCTGTCATGTCCTGTCTGTCTGGGACTAATACATTAACCTAATCGATCC